AAAAAATTTTTTTTTACATCATGTGGCTTATAGAACAAGATCTGCAAAACTCACATTTCAACATTGGTGTGATTTCCTGAGAACCACTCCAATGTACTGAGAGTAGCAAACTATCCTCTTAGTACACTCAACCCATCTAGCCCTGTTCTTAGGAAGTCATAGTTATGCCTTAAATGCAAGGCAGGAGAAAAATCCAACGGAGCAGAAAAATGAAAGAGAGCGCAGGCTCTCTGCTTTAGATGTGAACTAAAACCGAATCCCCAAGAGGTTTTTAATGTGTTTCCTTTTTTAAATATTTATTTAAAAATCTAGAGATTAACCCAAGGAGGAGAAGGTGGAGGAGGAGGAGGGTTAGTAATATGGCTCATCGAACAGTTCCATAAACACATATACGTTCACAACCACCAATTCTTACAACAGAAAGGAAACTTCTCTATGTAGAAGAAATTCTGGGAGATGTCAAAACCCCTGTGTGGAAAGCACAACTTCAATTTGCCTCAAGGGTCTTTTAAGTCACTTGTTGGCACTATTTCAGCTATAGTGTAACAGTATTTGGGACATCCAGTTTTTTGTCTGTTTGTTTTGATTCTCGGAATGCTTTGCTAATGAAAATTAAAAATAAAGTCCCTGTGGTACTTTTTTTCAAAAGGCAACTGGACTTTTTTGGGGGGGTTTTGGTTGAAGAGTTTCTCTTTTCATCCAAGAAGCATCTTCTGTCCTTCATGAACTGAAGATGCTTCTTGGATGAGAAGCGAAATGTCTTCAAGAAGGGAAAAAACCCTTCAAGATAGTCCAGTCTCCTTTTGGGGAGGGGGGGGAGCGCCTTTGGGACAACCATGACTGGATGACTGAGAATCTCCATAGACCAGGGCTGTCAAACTCCCGGCCCGTGGGCCGGATGCGTCATGCGCTGGCCACACCCACGCCCGGTTTAGCGAAGGGGGGGGGGAGAGGTCCCGATACGTCACATAATGCCACTATGACGACGTGAGTTTGACACCCCTGCCATGGACAATAAAAAGAAGGTAACCATAAATTAAGACATCCAACTCTCTGACCTAAAAGGCAAACGGCAGAAGTCCAGTCCGGACAGAATCTCAAACTGGCCTCTTGAGTTAGGCGCCCTTAGGAGCAACAGATTTACTTTCGTGACCTTCATTTATGCAGAGGTATATTATATACATACACACACACATCGTTCTTTAGCGCCCCTCCTCTTGGGATTCTGCCTATCAAGACAATATTCACATCACAGATCTGGTAATTTCCCATAGTACGTTCCAGAATGGCCCTCGGAAAAGAATCAACTCTACAATTTCATACCTGCTCCAAGACTGGAGCTGCTTCTTTGCGGTCTTCTTTCTTTTCAGCACCGTCAGCCCAGACAGCTTTGGATGCCAACAATCCTGCACAAGAAAAAAAAAGAAAGAAAGAAAATAGCACCAAAAATAAGGACTCTTTTGAAATGACCGCCGGGGCATTTGGCCAAGGAGGATCATCCTACGGGTACATCCGAGCACTTGTTCTCAGTACAGGTGGTTCCCCACTTACCCCCATTCGTTGAGGGGCCGTTCAAAATGACAGCGGCACTGGGGGGGGGGGGGAGTGACTTATGACCGTTGCAGCATCCCCATAGTCACATGATCAAAATTCATATGCTTGGCAACTGGCATGCACTTATGATGGCTCTGAATTGTTTTTTTTTCCTCTTTTGGTTTAATGGAACGCCACTTTGTTTGCTGCCGAGAGTTTCTAGGACAGGTGGGCAACCATGCAAATGAGATTAAAAACCACAAGGCCAACCACAAATCTGTCAGATGAGTTGGGCTGAGAACGAGTGACTCAGAGTCATCCAGCTGGGTTTTTGCACTTAAGGGGGGGACTAGAACGCATGCTCGCCTAGTTTCTAGGTTTAGAGATTTAACCACTAAACCAAACTGGCTCTTGTTGATTTTATAAACGCCGATAGTGACATAGTTTGTATTTCTTCTTAAGTAGAGAGTTAACAGAGCAGAATAACAGAGTCGGGAGGGACCTTGGAGGTCTTCTAGTCCAGGGTTGTCAAACTCAAGGCCCATGTGCCGGAGTCGGACCACAGGGTGCTTAGATCTGGCCCGCAAGGCCACCCTGGAAACAGTGAAGGACCAGCCCGCGGTGCCTCTGCTAGCAAAACTGGAGCTTGGGAGAGCCATGTGTCCCCCCACCCCCACCTGACCTCTCTTTTTGGCTGCGATGGCCTCCTGCAACCCTCGGGCAGCGAAAATGTAGCTGGGGTCACCACAGGACCTCATGTCAAGCTGGCCATGCTCAACCTGGCCATGCCCCATGCCTCCCCCCTGATGCGGCCCTCAATAAAAAACCAAGTTTGACACCCCAATTCTAGTCCAACCCCCTGCTCAGACAGGAGTTCCTATGCCATTTCAGACAAATCTCTTCTTAAAAACTTCCAGTGTTGCAGCATCCACAACTTCTGGAGGCAAGTTGTTCCACCGGTCAATTGCTCAGGAAATTTCCCTTTATTTCTAGATTGCTTCTCTCTTTTATTAGTTTCCCTCCATTGCTTCTTGTCCTGCCTTTCAGAGTGCTTGGGAGAAGACTAGACTAGACATTCCTAGTTCCTGCAACTGTTCAGATGGGAGCAAGATTAAACAACCATCATAGCTGATCTGAAATGGCGACTTACCGGTGATCTTGTTCAGACGAGCCCTCTTTGCTTGAAATGAGTTGCCTAGATTGTTTTTCCTCTTGTGTGCTAATGCGTTCTCCGCCTGTACAAAGGCAATCTTTGGGACATCCACCAGAGGAAATCCTACATAAAAGAAGAAGGAGAAATCATATATAAGCACCTTGTTTGAAAAGCTCCTCTGGGTAAATATTTACAATATAAAAGGTATCGGTAAAGGTTCCCCTTGCACATATGTGCTAGTCGTTCCAACTCTAGGGGGCAGTGTTCATCTCAGTTTCAAAGCCGAAGAGCCAGCGCTGTCCGAAGACGTCTCCGTGGTCATGTGGCCAGCATGATTAAACACCGAAGGAGCACGGAGCGCTGTTACCTCCCCACCAAAGGTGGTTCCTATTTTTCTACTTGCATTTTTACATGCTTTCGAACTGCTAGGTTGGCAGAAACTGAGACAAGTAACGGGAGCTCACTCACATTACGTGGCGCTAGGGATTCGAACCGCCGAACTGCCAATCTTTCTGATCGACAAGATCAGCTTCTTAGCCACTGAGCCACCATGTCCCCTCACTTACAATAGAATTACCTCCATATACTATTATGAGATAACATTAGAAATCATAATTAAATTTCTGGAGATAATTTTTTTATTAGGGTTTAGCAAAAGATATTGTTCTCCGACACTAAAATCTAGAGAGCTCTGGAATGTTCTGCTGTTCTCCTCAGAGGAATTCTAATCCAGCTATTCCAAGGACTAGCTGCAATTTCTGGATGGTCATCTAGGAGTGCCTGAAGAGCATCAACAGTGCACCACAATAATCCAATTTTGCAGTGCATGGCAAAACCAGGGCTCTCTCTTATACGTAGAGAACCACCAGGTTTAACAGCCAAAGCTGACCGAAAGTTCCATTTGATCCAGATGTTTTGTGACTGTACAATGTCAACATTGTACATGGAGACCCACAGAACCTCCAAATTGCCAATGTATTCCTTAAACTTAGGTGCAATCCTCTACAAAAACTGCACGTCTCCCAAATTGAGGACATGACGTGGGTACGTTCTAAAACCATCTGCATGAAGTCAGTGGAAGCCATAAAATCCTGAACTGCACCTATTAGAATGACCTCAGCAAGAACAACAAATTTCCCAGGAATAAAGCACTGGGGACCCCCCCCTCCCCCAAACCATCTCGTACCAGTTATAGGTTCTGCAGAGCCTCCATCTTCATCTAAGTCTTCTGAAGAGGTACACAGCTTAATAAGAGGCTTGGGCAGGGAGATGGTCTCTTAAGCTACACAACACATACTCTCTTGACACACAATTATGCTTAGGAATGATTCACACCCTGGCCAGTGTCTCTTTTCACTTTCACCACCAGGCATAAGACACTGAAGTATAAGCTGGACAAACACGTTTAAAAACAGCTTCTACCCATAGGCTGTCAGGCTCCTAAACACAATCGCAATCACTCCACATGCATAAAGGAAACCTATGACTAGACTCCCCCCCCCCCCAATTACTTGCATAAGGATTATTCTCTATACCAGTGATGGCCCTTTGGAGGCCCTTCAACAGCCGAAAATCAGCTGGCTGCCGTGCGCATGCACACTGAAGCTAACCACGGGCAACGGCTCGCGTGGCCTTAGAGATGGCTCCGTGTGCCACCTGTGGCACGTATGCCATAGGTTTGTCATCACAGCTCTATGCAATTCCATGTTGTCTTGTCTTTTCTGTTGTGGATTGCACCAGTAGAGGCTAGACCAATTTTGTTGTATGCATGATGTACAATGACAATAACGGCTGCTGTTGTCATTATTATTCTTGTTTTTATTGCTGTTATTATTCAGCGCAGCCACTCGACAGTAAATGGGGCCAAAGAAGGTCCTTTGTTACTTCTGTCGTGTCTCTTACATGGACCAGTTCAGTCCCTTAATAGCAACAGCAACAGCACTTAAGACTTATAAACTGCTCCAGTGTTTCATAGCACTCTCTGAGTCAGGTTACAGATTCGGCCTCTTGCCCCCAACAATCTGAGTCCTCATTTTACCAAACTTAGAAGGATGGAAAGCTGAGTCAACCTTGAGCCTGCTGGGATCGAACTCCAGGCGGTGGGCAGAGCCTGCCTGCAATGCTGCATTCTAACCACTGTGCCACCAGGGTTCCTTAATCTAATGTGTCAGCCCCAGCGCTCTCAGCGGCTCAGTGCTGCCATTCTGCTGATGGGGAGATTCGTGACTGGGGCGTTTCGTAACTCGGATCACTGCTGTGCCACACTTGTTTCCCTGCCACGCCAAGAGCTTGAAGGACCTTCGGATCCTGCAGTGACTTTCATACGGAATGGCACCAGCGTAGGCGTGGCAATCGTAAACCAACATGGTTTGTCACGTCATCGGAGTATATTGGGTGTATTGCACGCGCGTAGGAGAGGGCGGGCCACAGGCGGGTTTAAATGGTGGAGGGAAGCACGGAATTACAGGCTTGACTTTAATTCACCCGTGTTTTGCACTGTGTGTTTGTTGGAAGTACCGGAACAGGCTTATAAAGATTACGTTTACCACGAACTACCCACTTAGTCTTGTTTTTCTCTGCCTAAACGGAATCCGACAGTAAGTAGATAAGTCCGGCTCCTTTAGAGGAGTACATAATTGGCTTTGAAGAAGACATGTGGGAATGCTTAAGTAAAACAGGAGATTACCCAGAGAAATCCTGAGAGTGCAAGAAAGAAACTCAAGACTGCCCAGCTTTTGGCTTTCTTTAGAATAAGAAGGGAATGGGAAGCATAGCAGACTTTCCAGATTCTGTGATTATAACCCGGATCAATTCGGGTTCTGGGTTTTCTTGTGAAATCTGTTTTTTTGACTTGATCTATCTTGAGGGAGTGACAGTCATTGCCCATATATCCCTTTTAGTCCCTATTGAGTTTCCCCACAATCTGCACTGCCTTATCCAGACTGTGGCATTCCTACAAATCCGCATACAATGTAGAATGGGACTAAAATAATGGTCAAACGGGCATCAGTTAAGAAAAGCAGAGGGGTTTTTTTTGGGGGGGGGAGTAAATCCTTCTTCATATGAATTACCAATGATTTTGAGAACTGAAGGCCTTTATTGTCAAGACAGTTGCAAATTGGAAGAAAGGCCTGGAGAACTTGCCTATAGAAACACCCACAGCT